GCAAGTCTGTGATAAAGCGACTCAATCCATTTTGCTGACTTTTCCTTTGCTGTCTGAGGAGCATCGTGCTGTAGCAGTTCAGGCATAGACTGCATTATAGGAAGCTATACTCTGTTTTATGTAAGCTAAAATGGCTTTACAGTTCTTCTGATACAAATATCCTCTATTTTACCAGTGCCCAAGGAAGGGCATGCCCTTCTAGAGTAAGGATTTTGTTGGAGGAAAAGAGGCACACAAGGTTAAGTTGGCTTGCCTCAGGTAGCACAGGAAGTCCATGAAGAGCTGGAGCAGAGAAATCCCAGTTCTGTTTCCTGTCTTCCATCAACCTTCACTTAACAATCCAGAAGACATTTCATGACATTTTCCCACTCTCTTGGATGAAAACTTGTTGCACAAATGGAGCTGGGCAACTCATTAAGTATTTTGCCATCTTCTCATCTAATTTAGCTTGACATGTCTTGTTTGATGTTTGAAGTTCATCATTTTATATAACACTTTTGTAGAGATTCCGATTGTTTAAAATGGTTTTGATTTTTTTGGTCCTTCAGCTTCATGAATTTATCCGCAGGGGACTGTCATATTTGAGATGTCCTTACGTAAAAGAAAAGCACTCCAAGCTCACTGGCAGAGATCTTCTTTAAAGCTAATTAAAGTGACACGTTTTGTCTGGATTCAGAAGCACACGGTGCTGCTTGTAAAGCCAGGTGTCCTATTGGACGTGCAGCTCCCTAGGCAGGCACATAAGTAGACTTCTTTATGTTGGACTCAGTCTCATATCGTCACCTGAAAAGTTTTGAAATAATTTATATCTTTGACTTTTGATACCATCTTATTTTTATTAAAAAATATTCCTGCTCACCCAAAGTATGTCAGACAGTGCCACCAGGTTGACATAGAAGGGACAAATTATTGCATTTTTCTATAAGAACTGTTGCCAAAATGTTAGGAAGATTCAGGGCAGGTTTTCTGGAAAGTTTTCCTTATGAATTATGAGAAATACCCATTCGATGTGAGAATCATTCTTGTGCTGGCCCAATGTGCTCCCATTAATTTTTGTACAAGCAGCTTGACCATTAAAATCCATGCTTGAGCACACCTTTCCCTGTGACAGCACTGAGTTTTACAAAATACAGAATGCTGAGACCAAGATGGATCTTTCTGGCTCTGATTCAGCTTCTACTGAGGTTTTTGCAGTCTTTTTATTGCTTCTCTGGGAGTTGATTCATGTGCTTTTATTCTCCTTCTGATCTGATTTCAGAATCACTGGAAAAATCGAAGGAGCAGCAGACATAAATCTACTGACTTAGAACAGTGATCTTATTTGTGACTCCCAAGCTTTTAAATATGCGGGCAGCAGTCTGTGAGTCCATTTCATGCATGTTGAAGTTTCTGATAGTATGTGTAAACCCCAATAGATTACTGATAGCATGTAAAATTGGACTTCCTGGATACCTCAGGTCTTCTTTAATTCTAAGAACTATTTTGATAGTTCCATGTGAAATTTTCTTGAGTACTAAGCTGTAGGGGTTATGAAACATTGCAGGCTGGTAACTAATATATGTGTGGGTGGTTGCTTCTACTCGATTAGAGATCAGAGAGATTACAGCTAGAGATCAGGAATTGGCAAACGGGTAGAAAAATATTAAAATATTAATATTAACTGATATTAATATCAGGCTTACTGATGGAACAGAATTATCTGTATAATAATAAAAAGACATATGAAAGGCAATACCCTTGTGGGGAAAAAAAAAAAAAAAGTTACTTGTGTATTAACACAGGGAATCATTTCAACTGCCCTTCTCTTAGATTGTGATGAGCCAGAAAGCACATATGTCCAGTAGAAAACAGATTACTTAACACTTATTTCCTGTTTACTCCATTATAAGAAAAGCTCCAGGATGAAATTTCTAGTCAGAACTAGAGGAAGAGTATAAAAGTGTGCATCCCATAAGAATAAAGTGATGTGGCAGTCAGGAAGCATCAGAATATGTTCTGCCTAGCTCGAGTTGGAGGGATGTTATTTCTCCACCTTTGCATGCAAGTTCCTTAGTGCCTGAACTCTGCTGTTCCATCACTGTGTTCCTTCACCTGAGAATCTCTGAAAGCTCCACTTTTGTTTTACTGTTGAACAGAAGCCCTGTGGAAATTTAAGTTTTATACAGCAAGAGATCTTTTCCTGCCCAGTTTACTAAGCATTCTCCTTTCTGGTTATAGGCTTCATTGGCAGCTATGTTCCAGACAAACCATTTCCCTCTGCAGCATGAGTTTTTATGAGCGCAGTTTTGTCATAAATGCTTTGATTTAGCTTCCAGAACGTAGCCCCATGCTAGCTGAGAGCTGCTGCTACTTGCATCACTTTCAGTGCTATGCACAGCATTTGATTTTTTTTAAAAAATCATCTGTATTTCAGTAAATGTTTCTCATACGCGCAGAGCCATAGAAACCATACTTCTATTGCATATTCATACATAGAAATATAAAGTAAGAAAAACCAAGCCAGCTAAACCTGCATGTGTATCAAAATGTTTTTCTCTGCAGCCCATGAAAGAAGAGATTTTTTTCATCCTCACATTAGGTGAATTCCTGATGTCACTGATTTCTTATGTGCTGGTTTTCACAATGAAGAGCCTGTAAAAACTGAAGACAGCAACTTTAAAACTATCGATACCTAAATACAAAGCAGGCAGTTACTTCTGGGTTTTCTGATGTTGGTATTTTTTCCACTAAAGAAAATCAAGTTTTATTGCTTGTTTAGTAGCATAGCCATGAAGGAGGAGACTGTGTGTGATTGTGATGAGTAGAGAGATGGAAATAAATGGGAGAAGTTTTTGTTACGATATGCCTAGATTGCCTTGTTCTGTTACTAGTCAAACTGTTCACACTGATGTGATTTTACTAACAACTGACACGTTTCAGCCATTTCCTGAAATGATGTCAGACTTCACTGTGGTCGTTTTAGGAAACTACTAGCTCTACATGTTTTTCAGGTGTAAAATAGCAATCAGTTCAAACTTTCCTACTGATTCCACTGCTGTACGTTGAGTGTGTAGCTTAGTGGCGTTTTCCAAGACTAAGTAGCCTTTTTTGCCTTGGATTTGCTTGCCATCCTAAAAGAAGATAATACAGAATGGTCATTCAGCTAATATAACATATATAAATACAAAGCAAGCAATAGAGCTTGCTGAATAACAGAAATGAATAGCTCAGGCATTGAGTAAGATCTCAGAAAATGAACTTTGATGCAGCCTTCTGCATCAGAGGTCCTCTTCTGGAGTTAATACTCCAGGAACAAGAACTGCTTTTCTTTTTAGACACTTCAGCAGACTATTGCTTCATTGTGGTTCCATATAGCATGCATCCTTGATAAGAAAGTGGTCAAATTCATCAGTCAAATGTTTTGTCTTGCCTTCCAGCAGTATGAGTGTATATAAGAACGAGGTTGAAATTAGTCATTTATTATTATCTGTTAGCCCTCATTATTGTCAAGAACAGGCCTATATGGAAAACCTGAAGTGTGAGATTTGTCATAGGAATGTATTTATTCTGGCTTACATTTATCTAGAATGATTGCAGTAGCAATGAAAACACAAGCATGACTAACTTAACTAAGGATCAGAAACTAGGGTAAGTCTGCAGGGAATTTTTGTGCATCATTCTGTGCCTAAAAGATTTGCTTAAATAATGTCAAAGGCTGTAGTGTCTGCTGTAGAGATAATGCAAGTTACTTCTAAAGTAACTCGCGCAAATATTGAGTTCATTGCTGTATGAACTTCTGCATTTAGAAATAAGAGTTTTGCAGCCTTCACATGGCACTTAGTGAGTTTTTCTGATAGGATTCTGTATTTATTTTGCAGCATAGGGGCACCATAGGGGCTGACAGTAGGGCATGATGCTTTTAACTGCCTAGACTTAATTATCCATCACACTATGAAATTCTGACATTATTCTTTATCTCATTCTTTCTCATTGCAACTTGTGCTCAGACTGTAATCTGCAAAAACTCTTAAGTCAGTTTTAAGCTGAAGATGTTGAAGCAAAAATGCACTTGACAACAAAAGCAATATCACAGATTTGTGGACTTATCTTTTTATCTCTATAGTCTTCCACTCACCACAAAAGTGATTATGATTTTGTTTACCTACTTCCATAGTCATGGAAGCTGATGTGAAGTCTTTCTGTCCCATTTCTTAGTGGGAAGTCTTTGAAGCAACTAAAATGTTGCTGTTTTCTAAAATATGATGACAAAAAGGCCTAGTTGGCTGCAACTCCACCCAACAGCTATCAAATAGATGATATTGCAGTATCAATAGCTAACATAGGCCACTAAGAGGTGCTAGAGCTGCACATCCACATGGATTGCATCGCCTTTGTGCTTGCTTCCCTCAAGGGTGAGTGAGGGGGAACAAAGCGTGTAGCTACAGATCTAGAATTATTGCAGTCTGTCTTTCAAAGCACGCTTCTTAAGAGCAGAAAATAAGTTGTAAATGCATTCAGGTTGTTTATGCTTTGTGTACATTTCAGGAGGTTAACTCATGAATCACACTACTGTCCTTAGTTCTGTTTATCTCAACAGTAACAGAAGTTCAGATATCACAGCTCAGGAAGAAAGTGGTTTTCCTGTAAGCTGTGTGGGAAACATGACAAAATTCAGTATTTTAATTGGGAACAAGCACACTTTTTCAACAAATGAAAGTAAGTCTAATCCCTGACTCAGTGTAACAGTCTCACAAGAACTACTACAAAAGTCCAGATTTCATGGCTGCTGGAATCAGAATAAGTTTTGAAATTTCCTGGAAAATTGCCATATTGTTTTTATCTTCACTTAAAAGGTGATATGTAACAAGTGAAAAGATGTCACCAGCTGTATTTATCAAATGATGATATACAGGGTGTGCAAGTGCATTCAATAACAATTTTTACTTTTCTGATAACAAATTTGTACATCTTATTTATTCCATGTATGATTACTTCACTAGCCCTCCCTTTTGTTTTTGCAGAGCCAAGATGACAGATTTGCTTTCACTGCTGAATGGTATGACCCAAATGCTTCACTCTTTCGGCGTTACGAGCTTCTGTATTATCCAAAAGATGGATCAGTTGAAATGGTAAGAATAAAAAACAGTCAGTAGTTTTAAATACAATAATTAAACTGCTTATAAAATGGAAAACCACTGCCAATTATTTTTCCAGGTAATTAAGTTGTAGTTTAAGACATACTTTTCTCTATTTCTCAAACTAGAAGAAAAGCAAGTGTGCAAGTTCACAGTGGAGCATGTGCAAGAGCTTCCATGTTAATGATTTTTGTATTAAGCTTGGAGAGTTTCATTTTCACAGATCTGTTTTCATTTAATCTCTTCTTGGATTTAAGTATTGGAATTCAGCAGCATCAACCTACTGCATGAGAAACAGAAATTGAAGGCGATCCCTAACAAGAATAATTTTCAGTTAGAATTCTAGAAGTCTCTGAAGCATTAGCTGTAAACAACTTCTACCAAAGTGAAGGAAACAGTGAACTAATTTGGTTTTAATGCAAGGAAGGATGTTTCTGAGAGTGGAATCCAAATTTTTCCATTATTGGTTCTTGCATGGACCTCTCTGTTTTGTGGCACGTTTAATCCTCATTTTTAATTGATGGCAGGTTAAAACAAGCATATAGTACAGATAATCCTGTACTGACAATCCAGTAAAATAGCCAATGCTTTGTGCTTCCGTTTAGGAATGAATGAGTGACTTGAGTTTTCTAGATTTTAATGAGGATCTAAAGGTCTGAGAATAGCCTAAATTTGAATATTCACATCTATTAATTTGAATAGATTTTTAAAATTTTCTTGCCTTAAACATCACAGAAATAACAGCACTATCAGAATCTACCTTTTCTTATCCAAACTACTATCTACTGAAACCACGGTACCCACCTGCGTGAGGAGATGCACTTTGCACTTTTTACTGATAATCTCTTGAAATAAACTCTACTGTGATGTTGTCTCTTTTAAGTTAGTTATTTGTATGATATATGTGTGCACAGTTGTCAAAACGTGAGGATTTTTTTTCCTTGAGACATCAGAGCTAATCAGTCAGGAGCCGTAATAATCTTCCTACACAACCATGTGTAGGCTGACAAAATTGTTGTTCATTTCTCCTGGATGTCTCAAAACCAAGAGCTTTCAAGGTGTTCTTGAGCTTTATGTATCAAACACCTATGACTTGGTAGGTTCTTATGTTTTGCCAGTGTGTTCTCAGGGTTGAGATAGTATTGTGTGTACGCAGTCATGAGTTTGCATGGACTGTGTGAGATCAAATGCATATAGTATCTCTGCAGAAGGAATTCTGCAAGTTCAGTTTGGGGGTGAATTTACGGACAGAAATTACATTTAAGATGATTTTCTGGATTTATGGTTTTTAAAACTTATCTGGAGTTTGGTGATTCTTTTTTCATTACTGCAAAATTCTTCTGGATCTTTTGCATCTTCCCGAGGAGATGGCAGCTGCTCACTTTACCTCTAATGCATTGTCGGAGAAGAGAGGTAATGGATTCAAGCCAGCTTCTCTCTACTTATGAGAGAGCTGTCGCATCACCTTTCCCATCTCTGCAATGATAGCTCTTCTTTGTACATGCTTTAGCTGAAAGTGGAATAGAGCTGTTGAATGTTTATGTTATGTGAGGTTCTCGGCTTTCCATTTGTTTCTTACCTTCATATCTTGCTCTCTTCCTGAAGGAAAAATACAGTGGAAATAATGGAAATAACGTTACAAGTTTCCAGCTTCCTTTGCAGCCATTAGAAAGCAACACGGGTTTTTGTCCAAGGACAGCAAGCAACCATTTCTGATCAGACTGAGTACTTTGACAGAGACATCCCCAGCTATCCAAGTTTTCCACAGTTAATAACTCTCATGCAGAATTTTTTAATCCAAACAACTTCTCTTTCTAGAGGAGATTTCCTAAAATAGAGAAGAAATCTTTGAAAAGGACACATTCAGAGAAAATTATTGTGGACAATTTACCTGTTACATATACATAAGACAAGGAAGAGAGAAAACAAACAAAAAATCAAAACCATCTTACATTTCTTCTGCTGTGACTTTTCATTTGTATTATAAAAAGATATTTTAAGCAAATCCAAAATTCCACTCTAAAGGATTCGTTAATACAGATAGTGCCTTTTTTTTTTTCCTTCCCTCTTCATCTTCTGCTTGAGAAGAGAGAAACAGAAGGAGGTGTGCCTTTCTAGAAACTGTGCTTCAATGAAGGTATGATCAAGCTTTTAGTTGAGTTATTAAGAATTTTAATGCTTGATTCAATTAATAGAACTCTTCTTGAAACTGAAGAACACGGAGAGCATGTAGGTGAGGGCTAAGGATGTTTTTATCATGGAATCCTGCTAATAGAAGGAGGTATCAAAAAAAAAAAAAAAGTTTGGCTGGAGAGGACAAAACTTTTCCTTCCCTAAGATTCTGTTTCTCCAAGAGACTGAAGAGATCTGTAATATTTACGTGTAGTAGAGAAGAAACTGTTCATGAGGTTGTGTTTTGTGCTTTAGCAGTCCACCCAGAAAACTGCGCATTAATGTCTTCCTTCTTGCTCAGAATGTTGATACATAGCTGAATCGTCTTGACAGGCATTTGAGCTTGCAGCTCTAGGCAGTGAGAACTTCTCAACGTAGTGCTGCAGCCATCCATCCATCCCTAATTCAGAGTTTTATGCAGTCAAATAAAGCATAATATCACTGGAACAGTGCCCTGAAGAGGAGACCTGCCACAGCATGTATTATGGTCGCTACTGCTTCAAGCCATTGGCCCGTTAAACAGCACAGATCAGCTAGGGGGAATTCTCATTGAGACTGGGCAGAGTTATCCACTAGGGATGTGAACCATTTACCATAGTTGGAATTAGCACAAGTAAGTAATAAAATAAAAACTGCAAAGACAGCCATCACCCTGAGACCACTTAAACAGAACAAATGTGTGGTTTTATCTTCTAAGCATTCCTGGTGCACGTGCAAGTTCAAAGGGCTAAAATTAAATCAATTTAATGATCAGATTCAATCCCACAGAGGTATGGAAATTTTTGAAGGAAAAGTAAGAATTATGTTGAGTTTGCCAACAGCTTAGATCTCTTGCTGTAGAAGGTTCTCTTCTTCTTTTGTCTGCAGTATGATGTGAAGAACCATCGTACCTTTCTAAAGCGCACCAAGTATGAGAGCTTACACCTTGAGGATCTGTTTGTGGGCAACAAAATTACTGTGTTTTCTCGTCATCTTTCCTTAGTGGACTATGGGGATCAATATACAGCACGCAAGCTAGGCAGCCGCAAAGAGAGGTAAGAAAACCTGTTTTTTGAAATCCTCCTTTATGACTAGGGTAATTGTTTTTTGCTGGAAATGAGATAAGATTTCTGTACTGTGGGAAAAGGAGGAATTAGTCACAAGTCTGCATGAGGTTTGCAGTCATCTGGCATACTGATAGCTAGAGGGAAGAAGTTCCCTGCTTGTAGGCAAACCCACCATTATCCCTCCCACCTGATACATCTTCAAGGCCAGCTTATCCGTGGTGTCTGATGCTGCATTCTCCAGATCTCTCTGAAGAGGAGAGGTAGAGGAGGAAAAGATGGGCTCCAGCTCAACTTTGTTACTTCTTGCAGGGCTGGTAGGAGTAGCATTCTTATGATTTGTGGATTCTCTCAGAGCAGTAATGGTGCAGTAACCTTAATGGATACTGGGCCACAATCTTGCAAACCTGTCTCCTGCCTCTCTGCAATCTGTGCAGAAAACTAGCACCTTACCAAACACATCTACCCTGTATTATCAGTAGTAACGGAGCAGTGGGAACTGGAGTGAGAGAGACCATTCCTATCCTCCACTGCTTTTCTCACTGTGGAGGTTTTTCATCTGAGAATGTTTTCAGCATTTCATAAAATATGCATGCATGAGGATGAGAAGTGTGGAGTGGGAATGTCAATAAAACCTATGTGGTTGTATATTAAGACAAACTTAATCAGTAAAGGTAAGACTCATCATCTCTTTTCACTGGAAAGACATTAAGAGCCCATCCAAGCACAAAAGTGGTAGGAGAAACTTAAAATGACAATCAGATTACTTTAAGAGGAATTTAAATCTGATTTGCCTGTACTGCATGTAAATTCTGAATTCAAGAATTAGTGAATTTGGATCGTTTGCTCCAGCTTTTTTTTTTTTTTTTAAAGAATAGAGTATTTTCCTAGGCATGGTGTTGCAGTGAGCCTTGTTGAGTTTGTTTCTTGTTCCCTTTCACTGTCTGGCGTTAGTTTGAACTCGTTTTGAAGAAGCATAACTGGACACTTTGGAACAGCTGCAAGTTTTGGCATTTATCTTTGTCTTAACCTCACAAAAACAGTGCCTTGGAAATGACTGCCATAATAAGTTTCCATAAGAAGCTTCCAGAAGGATGACTTCTGGTGCTTTTTCTTCAATCTGGAGTTGGGAATGGTGGAAGAGTAGCAAAGAGGGTGGAGAATAACAGAGAAGGACTTCTGTGTATGATACTGCTCTCTGTTTCTCAGTGAAGTGTTGAGTAAACTACATCTGTCTTGTTTATGGGTTTTATCTCAGTGTAATATTTTATTGCTGCATGTTTCATGCTCTGCCTAAACTTCCATAAGCCCTGGTGCTGATGCATTTATAATAAGAAAAGGTGGCTTGTGATAAAATGGCATGTTTTTCTCATAAGAGTAGCAATATGTTTGTACAGCAACACTATATAGTCAGCAGCACTGTAGATGTGTCAGTGAGGTGGTCCTGGGAGAGGGGTGCTCTATGAAAGGAAGAATTTATGACGTGAGCTATTTGGAAAACATTTTAGGAATGTCAGCTGAAAGATAACATAGATATGCAAGTGATGTTACATATTCAGAGTGGCCTTGGGGAACATAGTGAAAGGTGTCTTAAACAGGCAAGAGATCCTCAAAATCCAGTTTCTTCACAGAAGCTGGCTTTCACTGGGTAAACAGGTCATAGTAAAGGAATCTTTGTGCAAAATGGCTGCATATGGACTGTTTGTCTTTCTGGCCTGGTCCTCACAGCATTTAAAGCAGTTATTAGTTAAACATATATAGTAAGATTTCTGCAGCACTTGATTCCTAAAAATAATTTCTAGTTGGAATGTTACTAATAATTTTGTGGATGTTGTATGAGGAAAAATATTCCTGTCTTTCCTTGCTGTATATACTGTATATACTGTACAGGATAATCTGCTGTTTATTTCAGCTTTGTAGTCACATTCTTTGGCTGCTGAACATGCGTGCAGACAAAGCTCAGAAAAGACCTGTGAGGGGAAAGTACATAAGAATGTACATAAGAAGAAAAAAGTGAATGTTTTGAATTAGGGGCCTTTGTTTTTGTCAGGAAAGCCAGCAAATGTCACTTTAGTTACATGAGGTGTGAAACAGATGCTGGTATAAGGAAATCATGGCAAGAAGGTAAGCTTACTTAGAGCACACTGTGTAAGGAAACACTGGTTTAAAAAAGTGACTTCTGTTGTGTAGTCCTTCACTTGTGATCCTGGGCAGTTGTAAACTGAAGTAAACACTTGTCTGAGCAATGTGTACTTTCTAAGTAGTCTGTACTCAAAGTCAGTTAATATCCATGATTTTGAAAATGGGATGAGAAAACTTGTGTCTCAACCAGAAATACTCAGTCTTTTTAAATGGGGTATGTTATTTGCATGCATTCTGTCATTGACATAATCAGTATCTCTTCCCCTACAAGACATAGGACTGTTGCACGTACTGTAGCTTATTAAAAATAAGTAGCTCTCACAAGCATAGCTACAACATGAATTGTGCACCATTCCTTTGATCAGCTCCCATCTTCTGTTTTTTTAGTGCTCACTGAAGTACTGTCAAACAGTCCTTCTGAAAATGTAAGCAACCAGGATGAATTTTCATTCTTTGTTCCTAGACCTAAAATTGTTTCAAAAAGTACTTTGCAGTCCGCATCATGTAAAACCACAAAAATATATTGCTAATTAAAACTAAAAATAAGACACTTGGATCGATCCAATTTCAGGAACAGTCTTCAGCATCCTGAATTATTCTTTTTCTTGCCCTACTTGCTTCTGAAAAGCTTATACCGAGATGTTACAGTTTATACACTGATGCTAGATAAAAGGTTTTGTTAGATTTGCTCATTGCAATTTTTATTAGTGTCTTCCAGGTAAATTACTTCTCAAAGCAATGTTTCATTACATTTCGCTAGGATTTTTACTTGAAATTAGAAGAGTAAAGGATTGTTTATTTCTAGTTCTATTTCAGCACTTTGTGCTGAACAGCCTGTGTAATAGCATAGATTAAAAACAAATCCTGAAGGAAATGTCAACTTCACTAGAGACTTTATTCAGTGATTTGATCCTTGGTAATCATGGTAAATGAGAAAGTTGAGTGTTTCTGGAGGCAGGGTGTACATCATGCATTATGTGAAGGTATGCTTGTCATTGGCCTAGCACACAACTGCTCACCTTCATGTGCCTTGATGCACAGGACACATCCTGTCATATGATAAATAATATCACAAAATGAATTGGAGCTATTAAGTCCTTGGGAAAGACGTTGGTCAGGCTATGGACCATATGAATTATGCTAGCACGCTTTCCTTGAGGTCAGCCTTCCCTGGCCTGAAGACAGGGTTAAATCGTTTTGGTCAATGTACTGAAGCACAGGCTCAGCTGACTACTCTAATGCAATTTCTTATAATTGCCTGCCTCCACCTTTAGTCCACAAGTGTTTCTGTGTTATGTTTCCTGACGGATTTGGGCCTGTGCTGATGTGCGTATGTAAGCCTTCTGATGCTTGCGGAAATCTTGTTGGTATCTGAGCACTGAAGGTCATCTATGTCTCTCTCTTAATTTCACGTGCAATATTGCATGCATTCAAATTTCCCTCTTTATGTTTCCTGCTCTGACACCTCTCTTCCTTTCTGTTTGCTGTAAAAATAGATAGCCTGTTCATTCCCAAAGCATCTGGCAATCTCTGGTTGCTTAAGGTAAGGTAATAAAGTTAGTGGAAGTTCATCCATCTCCTGTATCCTCACATATTTGCTCTCGTTGGAATATACTGCTGCAAACCTAAGGGTTGCTTTTCATGCTTTTCATTTTTATGCTGCTAAATAAAAGGGGAAATTTGCAGTTATTTACCTGTCATTTATGGAGGCGCTGCATTAAAAAAATCTATGTTGAGTGGCCTTCGTTATTAGAAACAGCGTAAAAAGATGGAAAGAGCTCTTCTGGATTGTCAGAGACACAGTTTCAGAGATACAGGGTTGAATAAATCATCTGTTGATTTGTAAGCTGAGCACATTTGAAGCTGACTCACCACAAGATGAATGCAAATAGAAAATGCCATTTTACAGACCTTCTTCTTTGCTTGTTACTTTTGATTAATAATATGTTTAGTGCTTGGTGTACTTGGTCTGATGCAAAGCACACTAATAAAACTGTCCTGGCCTTGGGGATGTACAGTATAAAAAGATAATTGTTGAAAAGCTAGGATGTACTTGGAAACAAAAATGTGGGGGAGAGCACTGAGATTTTTTTTATTGGTCTCTCTTAGAATACAGGTGTCAGTCAGTAACTAATATCTTATCTCCCAACATTTTATTGTGTCCATTATCAGCATCAGCTACCGTGGCACACAAACCATATACCGTTTGTACTGTATGAAGGAAAATTAGGCCCTCTTGTCACTGGGGCCTCCTAAACTTTTAAAGTAATAATAAAATAGTAATTTCACTTTGATTTTCATGGGAGAGGCATGTTTTTAAGTAACAATTCTAAATACAGAAGTTGATCAGCTTGATTTTTATGTATGTAATGATTACGTAAGGGAAGAGTGTAGGGAAGGAGAAGGAAACAAATGACTTATGTTCTAACTCAAAGCAGGGAATGAGGAGCATAGAGAAACTAGCTACCTTTACAGCATGAGTGATGTGCTTCAAAAAATCTAATGTGTGTCTCATACTTCTTTCTGACTGAATATTCCTCATAGCTTTCGTGCTCCAGTATAGTGTTCCTTTCTGTCTTGTTAAAGGCACAATTGTGCAACTATGAGGTTATCGTTCTTGAATCTTTGAAACTGAAATCACTGAATAAAATCTCAGACAGAACTACTTAAAAAGCAATGTAAGTTTTAAATTGGATGGATTCTGTGGGAAGAATATCAGTTTGAGAATATCAGGAAATAGGCAAGTGTTGAGAATACAAGGAATTTAATGTGTGAAAGAAAAGAACCAGACTTCAGGAGCAGGCTGTGAACAGTTGCTGTGAGTTTGGGTTAGGAAAGGTAGCCGTTACTGTGGGTAGAGGTACACACTGCTTTAAGAAGTGATCAGATTATTTGCTTTCAGAGTGAGGGAAGAAGCTGGTAAATAGCGACCAATGGAACACTATGGGCTGGCTTGGCTTAGAAAGCTGAGGAAATTGTAATAAGCAAAGTGTATTCTTGTCAGAGTAATGCCTTGCACAGACATTCAAGAACAGCATAGAAATTGATGAGACAGTGGGACTAGAATGCTTGACTGTGGCAGAATGTCTTTCTGTGGTGCTTTTCCATCCGAGTATAAACTCAATATGCACACTAGATTCTTTAAGAAAAGTAATGTTGGCTGTATCTCTCTCCCTTTTCTTTCAGAACGTTGGCTTTGATTAAACCTGATGCAACACCCAAGATTGGAGAACTAGTAGATATCATTATTAATGCAGGATTTACAATAACCAAGGCCAAAATGATGTTGCTTTCAAGGTAAGAAATTATAAGGTCAGCTCTATTGTATGTACTATTCGTGCAGTTCAGGCCATTCTCTGAAGTTTATCCCATGTTGTTCTACACATTAAATCCATTCCAGTGAGTAATAAAGAGAAGACTCATCTGTTTCATAACAATGTGTAGGTTTCTAAATACATGTAGAAAATTAAGTATTACAAAGCTTTGTGCAAATGAGTATGGGTGATTAAATAAAGAATTTATGTGTGAATTCAAGGTGACTAGCATTACTTCAGCAATTCTGTAGTGTTCACCAATGACTTCTCTGTATGTGCTCACCTTGTAACTTCCTGATGAAAGCCACATTCCAAATTATTACACAGTTGTCTTATAAGTACTTGGTTTCTTCACTCTCTGTAAATCTATTGTCTTAATTTGTGCTCCCAAAGCCAGAACTTGTTTGCTTTTTAATAACTAGGCAACCCAAGCAAGGCAGGTGATCTTTTGATCTCATTGCAGGGTTGAACAGGTGCATCTTCCTAAATGTCCCCCCCCGATTCCCCCCCGCACTGTTTGCTGCTCTCCACCTGTCTCATTCAACCATAAGATTATACTTTCCTCTGCAAAATGCTTTCCCATAAAGATGATTAATTTACCCTAGAAGATTTTTCCAAGATTATTATGGTATTTCTCAGTTGCTGCATTGCCAAGCCTGTTGATATGCAGCATCTTTTTGACAAGAAAAGCTATCCATATTAAATAGTACAATTTTCATGGGTCCTTGTGATTTCTCTGTGAGGTCAATTTTATCCTACCTCAAAATTCTTTTTGGCTTTCTGAAGTACTAATTAAAAAAAGAAAAAGTGAATACCTCCTCTTATTTCTGTGTTCACTTGCTGCAGTGTTTGATGAGACTGGTCCCAGATGCTCTCTCAAACAACTCCAGTTCATGAGTTTAGTCAGGTTTGCAATGCTAGTTTACAATTCAGTGTTTTTCAAGCCAGCAGTTTTTTTTTGGCTTGCTTTCCTGCAGTCTGAGATATTTGATTCTCAAGTGTTGAGTAGTTCTTTATTTCAGTGTCAGTGAACTTGGAGAACTATTGAGCCAAGTCGTGTGACTTGAAGGAAATGGAAATTGAGAATTAAATTTTTATTGCCTACTGCCTAATAAAACTCCCTGCTTGTCTTTTAAAATCGAAAACGATTATTAAGTGTAAAATTGAGCCTCAGTACTAAATCTAGTTAAATGATGTATGAGTATTTGTAGTTTCTCTGCATAACATATACACTGTTTCTTGCTATTGCCATTTTAAAATGCTGGAACTGTGGCCTTGCCAAAATCTTCTACTAGATCTGGCATACTTGCTCAAACAAGCATCGTCATCTGTTGCTTTCAGTAAAGAAAATATTACTGACATTCATCTGGCAATCCCTGTTAACTTGGTTTATGCCCTCTGTAAAAAAAAAAAAAAAAAAAAAAAAACACAAAGAAACTGTAACCAAGATAGAAAAGTGAGGACAGATATCTGCTTTGATAGGTCAGCTATCTAGACTCTTAAGTTAATCAGACATAAGTTGAGTCTGTTATTTCCTGGTGAACACTATTTTCCTTTCTTTAAAAGCAGAACAGTAACGAGAAATGAAATGGAAAAAGAAGCTAAGTTGTACAGCACAACCATAGTTTTGTATTTCTTGCAAAGTTATTTGGTGAATTAGTTTCAGCAGGGGATGTTCTGATGAAATAGTGAATTGTAAGCAAAAACTTACTTGGAGCTTGAGAGTGCAAGTATTCCTGTGGCTAGCATTGTTTTTAAAGCAATGAACCAGGAACTGTTCAGTTCCAGTGGGCAGGCAGCCGTTTTGATTCCCCAAAGAAGAAATTTGTGACTGTTAAAATCTTTGTCATTGTCAGGGAAATTAAATTATCTTTAGGTACTTCTTGAGGTTGTTTCTTGCCTCTGGCAATATCAGGCCTAAGTCTGGACTGCAAATGAAGAAAGAGAGATGTGAAAAGTTGCATTGCAGATGACAGTTACTGTGACTTGGTTCAGACTTGCAGCATATTTGAAATATATTCAGGTAGTGTCTTTCAGTAAAGGGAGCTGCTTAAAGTGAGCGAAACTGTGGAGACCAGAAAATTTCAGGAGACGTTTTTTGCCTACAGAAACAATTTTTCAGGTGGGGATCTTACAGTTTCTGTGCATCTCTGCTTTGATTATGAGCTTTGTACACAGACTGGGGGATCAGCATTATTGCTTGCTTTCAGCTGCTAGTCTACTTGAAGAACTTATCCATCTCCACAGATTCCAGCTTCAGAACATGGTACACACTGGGATTTGAAAACAAGCTAGGACCAAATCTGCACTTCTGAACTGGAGTTCTGAAGTTGCAGTTGTGAGATAACGGCTAAACTTGAAAACTCTCATGGATTCTTCTAGCTGTTGTCATGCAGAAAAAGCAGTGAAGGTAGCAAGAGTTTGCATGAGGAGCTGTTTGAGAAAAAGGAGGGAGGAGGGTGGGCTGTCTAGCTCAGGAAGTGGCAAGGTGGAAAGCCAAAGAGTGATGCTTCACAGGTGGATGGAAGGAGGGTCTGCACTGTGGACCCTGAAACTGAGCACAGTGCTACTAGAAGCATGGCTGTGGCAGTGCAGAGCTTGGGGATGGCCATCATCCTGTGTTAGTGATGAATATTCTGGCATTTAGCCTGCAGCATCTGTTGTGCTATCTTTGTACTCAGGTACTGTGACTAAATAACAGCTGCAGTACAGATACACTTTGTGTGCTTGCTGGCCTTTGTTTACCTGACAAAGTACTGAGCCCTCCTCATGGAAATCCCTTGCTATGGGAAAAGACAGTGTGTAGTAACTGGAGTTTTCCCTGAGGGAAGTGCATGACCAAACTCAGTTATCGAAGGGAAAAGCGTATGAAAAAGCATGTTCTAATCTGGAGGGGTTGTGCTCCCTATTTGAATTGTAACATTTGTGGATATGGAGTAGAAACCAGATTATGCAATATGCTGGTGTTCACTGTCATCAAACACTAGCCTCAATAAGGAAATAGGTTTCACTGAAGCAGATAAATTGTTTATTTATGCTTTAAAACCAGACTTCATTACCCAACATACACACTCAAATTGAACTGAAAGATCAAAGCAATGTAACAGTGAGTAGCTTGTGAAGAGGGTGTTTCTGCCATGTATGTTTCCCAACCTAAGAATATGGAGCCCATTAGTGACTTTGAAAATAGTAGTTAAAGGTTTTAGTGATGACTTCCTTCCCAGATCAGGATTGTAAAGAGGAGTCAATTACACCTCTAACCATGCTAAATATGACAAAGTTAAATGTAAGAGTGCTGCTCCAAAAGTAATACCTCCTGTTTTACTATATGAGATGGTGGTGGAGACTGAACCTTCACACCAGTATTCCCCTACATATTGTTGCTGTGTGACAGATGGCAGCAGAGGGGCAGCCTGATAAAGTGGCATCTGACATGGGAATACAGATGAAGCAAAGGTGTGTCACTGAATTCCTCCGTGTGGAAAGAATTGTACCCATTGACATTCACTATTGCTCACTGAACATTTCTGGAGATCAAACAGTGAATGTGGGCACTGTGAGACAGTGGGTGGTGCATTTCAACACTGACAGCAATAGTGGGTCACCTCCGCTGGTGCAGATTTTGATAAGAGTGGCATGCAGGCTCTGGTTCATCATTGGTGAAAATGCACAGCTAATGGAAGTAACTGTTGAAAAATACTATTTGTAGCTGAGATTTCTCTGTATCAAATAGTGTTATTGTACTCTTTGTATCTATTGTAGTTTCCATGGAAATAAATAGGAGGCATTACTTCTGGAGTGATCTTTGTAGTTTCTTTTACTGGGTATGAATGCCCCATAAATTTTCCAACTTGGGAAGGCATTATCTATAGAAGAATGTTGGTGAATGATAGTTTGTGTTCTCAGGGTTTATATATATGTATGAGTGTATATACATATGTACATATAAATATATATATACATATACCCTGTGTGTATATATATATAAACCTATATCTTTTACTCTTCCAGAAAAGAAGCAGTTGATTTCTACATAGATCATCAATCAAAACCTTTTTATAAGTAGGTACATCATTTTTAGCTTGACGTGCGTGTTTATTGTTCTGCAAAAGCAACTGATTTATTGTGGGTCCAAACTCAAGCCCTTCAGTGAGACATGAGTGCAGGCTATATCTGACCATGATGGAGATCAGAAGATCCAGAGCTCCCTTTTTTTTTGCTGAGTAATTATGTTTGAATATGTCGATAAAAAGCAAGAGTTTTGCCTGTGGTGTTATTTCACAGATGTTTATCTACACTAATGACAGTTATCTGATGAACCTTAAGCTTTAGTCCACGCTTGCTTGGTCTTCCCTTCTCCAGTCTTATTCACTACATCTTCTATACAGGAATTTTCTCAAATTTAGAAACAAATAAATAATTTCAAATCAATGAGAAGAAAAATCTTTCTCAAAGCAGAGCTACTAAGTTAGGTTAGGTTGCTCAGGGTTTTGCTGAGTTGAGTTCTGAGCCTCTCTACTGGGTCATGTATTTTCGTTGGCTTTAATTTACAACGTGGATCACCATATGCTGTTTCCATTTTGCAGTGAACTTCTCCAGTTTATAACAAGTGGTCCTGTTGTTGCTATGGAAATCTTACGGGATGATGCAGTTTGTAAATGGAAAACATTACTGGGGCCTGCAAATTCTGTAGTGGCTCGAACTGATGAGCCGGACAGCATTAGAGCAAACTTTGGACATGATGGCATAAGAAATGCAGCTCATGGCCCAGATTCAGTTGCCTCAGCTGCTCGAGTAAGTTTTTGACTTTGTTTCTTAACTAATTTTCTTATTAATTCAATTTGATAACACAGCTGGTCAGGAATTCCTCATTTCTTTTTTTCCCGTTTGAGTTCTGAATGAATAGATATTCTATGTTACTCTTTTTTAGCATGGAAGAATAAACTGTCTGGAAACAGGAATCTTGTTTATATTTGTCATAAATTGAAGTCTTGGACGTTTTGATCAGTCTAAAAAGTATAAAAACTCTGCTCCCATTGTGCACAACAGTTTCTGTGTGCCGGCTTTTCACATGAGAGTGTAAGAGACGGTATCTATTAGGATAAGATTCTGGTTGGAAATTTAACTATGTGCTTTGAGTTAAGTTTGTAGTTCTTTTTTACATTTCAACAGTTTGAAGGCCCTGCTCATCTGTGGTATTTTTATGACTGAAATTATTATATTGCTGAACTTTTGCAGATGATGGCATCCTTGCGGTGTTACTGATACCAATCTCTGATAAGACAACTGAAATTGTGAATTTAATAGGCCTCTACATATTTTAACATAGTAGATGCAGCACTATATGCTTGTATAGCAGCTGCCATGGAAACTAGTTGGTTTGCAGAAGCTTTCCTGAAAAGAAATAGAAAATAGAGAGACTTAAATGAAATCTTCTGAAAGAAAACCGAAATCCCAACTAAATCTATTGGATGTATTGTACACTGAGCAGTTAGAGTAGAACATTGCAATGACAAATGAAAGTAAGCCCCCGGTGTACTTTGAAGTTATTTCTCTTTCTGCAGGACATTTTTTTTCTTTTTCCATATTAGGCATAAATAAAAAATATATTTTTTTAAGGCATCACTTGGATTTTGTTTGGCATTTCATTATCCTGGTCTTAAGCATTATTTAGATACTTTTCTCTTCTGACATTTAATGGACCAAAGAAAGTGTTAGATGTTTTTAAGTATTTTGCTGTCTTTTTCCTGCTGCTGCTTTACTGAACGTTAGTTAACAGAATGGGACAAGGTTGCTGAGGGATGCAGCATGTCACCAGAATAAGGATGCAGGAAACTAACTCTTATGGGCACTCAAAATGGGCATTGCTTGCTAGGAAAAAAACCCAAACAAAACACAACAACAACAGAAAACAAAAACACTTCACCTTCCTTCCTGTTGAAAGATCCATGAGTGAAAACTGTAATTGTTCAAGTCGGGATTGCCAGAGAAACATGAGGAGAAGATTGAGAAAAAGTTAAGTTTATTCCATCTGAATTGAGCTAGTAAATTAAATGAGACAATCCCAGGAAATGGCCTTCAGCGCTCTCAGTGTTACACATGAAAAAATTAGATGGATTTGGTAGTAGTATCTCCAGGATATTATTATTTCCCTTAAATAGAAATTCATCAATTCTCTTACTTAATTTGACCAGTAGGTCTTAAATGGAATCTGTGTTTTGAGCATTTGACTAATGTTTATTGGCAGATTGTATAAGCTATGTGAATAAATGGTATGGAAAAAGCATGAAGCTGGCAGTGAACAGTTTAAAAAAAAAAAAAAAATCATTGAGGAAAGAAGCTTGGGTGTCAAGCTCACTGCACTGTAGTCTAAGACCAAATAATGATGGCAGGAGGAAAGGAAGTAATGGGAAACAAAGAGGTACTTTTGATTCTTCTCAGAAATCGGTGTAATTGAGTTCATCATTTTCCATCCATGAAGACTGGAGGGAAAAAAAGGAGGGATAAGAGTCCATAAGTCATGAGTGTGGAGCCAACAATTTTAGGTGAAGATTGTTTAATGCAAAAGGAAAAAAATAGTTGTAAACGGGTGGGATGGAGATCGGTTTTGTATAGGGAAAAACTGGATGCTCATTGTGTTATTGCTTAACTGGAGGAAAAGAGGGAAGCTAAAATGTATGTATGGGAGTAGACCTGGGAAGAATACTGAGGAAAGAAAATTTAGAAATCTGGGAATGCTTCCTCTGCCAAATGATTGTGGCAGCAGCACTTTGAGTGTTCTGAATGGAAATAGATCGTATTGTGGAAGCAGAAAGGGAAAAAAAATTACAAATATTGAAATGATGTTTTTATGTAGCAATGTTGCTGGGGTTGGAAAGATATGTAGGATATTGTTAGGGAGAAGTATTTGTAGCACAAAAATCAGTAATTTTCTGTGACTATGAGTACTTCGGATGTTGTTATTTACGATGAAAGCTCACGCATGCAGCCAGATAAAACTAAAGTCAATTCAACTGCAATTGTTTTCAGGAGCTGGAGTTGTTCTTTCCCTCCAGTGGAGGTCGTGGACCAGCCAACAGTGCAAAATTCACAAACTCTACTTGTTGCATTATTAAGCCTCATGCAGTTAATGAAGGTAAGCAATATGAATAGTGGAGGTGAAAGCAAATTACACTTTGTTGTATCTCATGATCATTCCTGTGTCATTTTTTGTGAAAATGTGAAATTGCAGGAAGGCAGAGTATTTCATTCTACTTGAAAGAGTATGCAAATCCTTTTTCTTACACCTTTAGTATTTCTTCAGTTTACTTTCATGGGTTGTGTGCTGTGTGGATACTTTTTAATTTCAGTATAAACAGTGAGAGACTGGAAAAAAAAAAAAAACAAACAATAAAATAATAATGAGATTCAACGAATCTCATTTAAGCTGTGATAACTTAGCCTTATTCCTATCTGTCTACCACACTACCAGAGGTTAGCTTCCTCATGGCAGAGTGAAAGCAGGATACCTGGTTCTATTACAGGGTCTTCCATTTACACAGTAACATATTACATTAAAACTTCTCACAAAGGGAATTTTTTCAGACGTGAATCTTGTTCTGCTGACTACTGTGGGGATGGGAAGTAGCAAATATTTGTAGGACTCCATGGTTCTTTCTGTGCTGGAGCATATCTTGCAAATTTACTACATGAGCATCAGAAAAGTTTAATGCCCAATTGTTACCATGCTGAAATAATCTCCCTTTTGTATCAAGTACTTCGATACAGGAGCATGTGTAAGAGCAGAAAGTGCAGTCAAATATTTCAGTTCTGGCATTTCAACAATATTTGAGTGCAAAATAAATATTGTCATGTGAGCAGGTTTAGATTTCTTTTTGTAAGATGTGGCACAGTAGTTATTTCTCTATGGACAGCTAAAATAAAGACAGCAGAAATGGCCATGGCAGTTTCCAGACCTTTCACATCTCAAATGGGATATCTGGAGGGCTTGGCAAAAACAAAAAAAAAACAAAAACAAACAAAACAAACAAACAAAAAAAACTTCTACAATAAAGAGTCATGCACTCAGTGTTGATAAAATGCCTGTTATCTCTTGGAGGCCCTTCAAGTCATCTGCTCCTGATAAATCTGCCTTGCAGCAAAGACAGAAAGATGTTCTTCTTAACAAAATATAGGCAGCAGCTAGAACTGTGAACTTAACTATTTAAACATTTGCAAAAGACACTTTACTGTGATAGGATTGTTAATGTCCTTAATTTTTCAAAATTCCCAAATGGATGGCTTGAACTGTGCTTTCTCATACTTAAGATACAATTTGTGTTATATGTGGGGGCTCAAACTCTTTCTTCGTGAGCAAAAGTTGTCCCTAATTTTAATCATCTTCATTTCTGTAGATTCCTAGTGCCTTGTCCGTTACTTTCATTTTTCCTGAACTTCTCTGGATTTTTCTGAATTGCCAGAGGTCAAATTCTGGCCTTGGCTGTACTCCACTCTGTGTTGGAGAAAGAATTAGAGATGCAGATAAGCAGAAAATACAAGTTCACACCCTGCTTTGTAGCGTGAGAGCTGGAAAGACTGGTCAGAAGTCAAGCTTAGGTTCCACTACTGTAGTCCTCTCTCACACTGCAGGGAGCAAGAAAAGTAGACCACTGCTTTCAAACAATTAAAATTTGAAAGATAGTGTACCTTGTGTGCATGTTCTCCATCCACACTCTTTTTTCTTTTGAATAGTTCTTTCAACAGAATGAAGGAAGCAACACTGCATTTTCTAAGCTAATAAAACTTTTTATCAATTTAAAATGATTATCAAGAGTGATGGAACTCAGAGATTGACTATGCTTTTATCTTACTAAGTTTTGTTGTTCCTACCTGTTCTTTCTGTCATTACTTTGACTATTTCCAAAGCCACAGGTCCTCCACTTCTTAGAGATAATGAGACTGTGACAGTCTTGTTAATCTTTTCAGAAGTCTGACTTCTGACAGGGAGTGAATCTTAAGAAAGGGAAGAATCTCTGTGGCTGGGCAGCAACCTCCCCCTTTGATAGAGAGCACTGCCCTCGCTTTATATTGCAGCTGGACTGGTTCCAGCTGGCAGTTAGTTATGAGAGGAATCCTTCTTCACAAAGGCTATGGGAACTCTCCTGCCAGTGGTCCAGGAGTGTCCCAGGGAGGAAGATTTTGTTATCTTAGCCTGCCTTCTTCTGTATTCCTTACTCATACTCCTCTTCAGCCTATTGCAGTACCAACACTTCTGGTATGATCTGTCCTTCTTCCCCATAGAGATTGTTTTGGAGTCAGGTAGAAGCGTGCTGAAGGAGTCTGGGAGACCCATTCAGGCTCAGTGGTCTGCAACAGGAGAGTGAGGCTCTGCTCATCTCATCTCTCTTTTAACAGCTATTAGTAACTGTACTGGGTGATACCTGAGACCTCTCCTGTATCTCAATTAGAGTAGGTGCTATAGCAACTAATGAGCTTCCCCTCAGGCAAAATTGCTGGTAGGAGGCTGTGTGGTATAAAAAATGAGCAACTTACTTTCCCCTCCTCCCCACCATCTCCCAACAAAACAGTACTCCCTGCTATAGTTGTCCACTCCTGTTTTTTTTTTCTGGCAGGGAGAATGTAAGGTAAAATAAGGCATCTGGTGAGAGAGAAAATTCCATGTAGCCATCAGTGCCAGGAGGTGGTCTGTCTGAGGCCCAGTGAGGAAAGTTATGTGGGTCAAAGCAGGAGAGTCTCTTATGCGCTGCAGATTTGATTTGTGCTCCACAAATTTTCAGTATTGAGCATCTAAAAATAAACCTTTTTGTAATTTCCTATGCACTGCTGAGGCTTTGAACTTATATAATTACCATGAATGTAATCTACTCATTACATGTGTATAATTACATGAAGTTTCTCTTACACATTTGAGCTTACTCAGAGCTTTAGTCTTTATTTCTGTAGGAATGTTTAACTGGATTTTGATTTGAATTTGACTCATTGACAGGTCTTTAAACTAGGTATGAAGGGGGAAGGGGGCAAAATCAGGGCCGATGGGTTTGAGTGGGTCGTTCAAGGGCTCGTACCAAACCTGATGGGTGATGACAGTGAAGTACAAAGGGATGGACTGGGGCAGTGGGGTTTTGGGGATGCTGCTGTTCTAGGGGAACCTAGATCCTCTATAAAGGTGATGAGATGGAAAGCCCAGCTGAAGTGCCTTTTTTACCAACGCACGCAGCCTGGGAAATAAGAAGGACAAGTTGGAAACCGTGATGTGCTTAGAAAGTTATGACCTTGTTGCTATCATGGAAACATGGTGGGATGACTCCCGCAACTGGAATACCACCACTGAGGGCTATCGGCTCTTTAGAAGAGATAGGCTAGGCAGGAAGGGTGGGGGAGTTGCCCTCTATGTCAAAGAGTGGATAGACTGCGAGGAGCTTCCTCTGAGAAACAGTCAGGATCAGGTTGAGAGCCTGTGGGTTAGAATTAGGGATGGCTCTAACAAAGGCCAGCTGGTGACAGGTGCATCATTTGCACCAAACCCACATGCATCCCTTGCACCAACCCCTGATCAAGAGGAGACTGTTGACGAGGCTTTCTTGCTTTGGATGCGGGAGGCTTCGTGCTCACGGGCTCTTGTCCTGATGGGGGACTTCAACCATCTCCATATCTCTTGGAAAGACCACACAATGAGCTGCAAGAGGTCCAGGAGGCCCCTGGAATGCGCTGATGATAACTTTCTGGTCCAGGTATTGGACAGACTGACCAGAGGTGAAGCGTTGCTGGACTTGCTGCTCACCAGTGCGGAAACCATGAGGAAAGGGCGTGTGATCCGTGACAGCCAGCACGGCTTCACCAGAGGAGGGTCATGCTTGACCAATCTGGTGGCCTTCTATGATGGAGTGACGGCATCGGTGGACAAGGAAAAGGCGACCGATGTCATTTACCTGGACTTGAGCAAGGCCTTTGACATGGTCCCCCACCACATCCTTATCTCCAAACTGGAGGGATGTGGATTTGATGGGTGGACCACTCGATGGATAAGAAACTGGTTGAAAGGCCGCAGACAGAGGGTGGTCATCAATGGCTCTATGTCCAGGTGGAGGCTGGTAACGAGCGGCGTCCCCCAGGGGTCTGTCTTGGGACCGGTGCTCTGTAACATCTTTATCAATGACATCGATGACGGAATCGAGTGCACCCTCAGCAAGTTTGCTGACGACACCAAGCGGAGTGGTACGGTTGACACGTTTGAAGGAAGGAATGGATGCCATTCAGAGGGACCTCGAGAGGCTAGAAAGGTGGGCCCAGGTGAACCTGATGAGGTTCAACACAGCAAAGTGCAGAGTTTTGCACTTGGGCTGGAGGAATCCCAGGCATCCATACAGACTGGAAGGAGCGGTCCTTGAGAGCAGCCCTGTGGAGAAGAACCTGGGGGTCTTGACAGATGAAAAACTTAACATGAGCCAGCAGTGTGCTCTTGCGGCTCGGAAGGCAAATGATATCCTGGCTCCATCAAAAGAGGGGTGGCCAGCAGGGACAGGGAGGTGATTGTTCCCCTCTACTCTGCTCTTGTGAGGCCCCATCTGGAGTACTGCGTCCAGGTCTGGAGCCCCCAGTACAAGAAAGACAGAGAGCTGCTGGAGAGGGTCCAGAGGAGGGCCACGAAGATGATCAGGGGACTGGAGCACCTCCCCTATGAGGACAGGCTGAGGGAGCTGGGCTTCTTCAGGCGGCTGTTGGGTGACCTCATTGCAGCCTTTCAGTACCTAAAGGGAGCCTACAAATAGGAGGGGAGTCAAGTCTTTGAAAGGGTTGATAACTGCAGGACAAGGGGAAATGGTTTTAAGTTGAAGGAGGATAGATTTAGTTTGGATGTCAGGGGGAAATTCTTTACAGAGAGAGTGGTGAGGTGCTGGAACAGCTGCCCAGAGAGGTTGTGGATGCCCTGTCCCTGGAAGTGTTCAAGGCCAGGTTGGATGGAGCCCTGGGCAGCCTGGTCTTGTATTAAATGTGGAGGTTGGTGGCCCTGCCTGTGGCAAGGGGGTTGGAGATTCATGATCCTTGAGGTCCCCTTCCAACCCTGGCCATTCTGTGATTCTGTGACTTTTATTTCTTTTTCTTTTTCCAGTGTTTTTTTCTTTTTTTCCTGCAGAG